TAATGTGGGTTGGGTAACAGCAACCCCCCAGGGAAGTACTACCGCCCTGCCAGAGACTGTGAAACAAAAACCTGTAAGTTTTGCATGATGGTAGGTTTGTGGTTTCTTTTTCTGTCTCATAAACATGCTAAATAACGGGGATATCTTGCACCCCAATTTACACTTTGGTCACATTTCACAGACACGCAATCAAAAATTATACATAACATTTTTTCCCCTTTTTTTTTAAATAGCTTTGTTCTTTTTATTTTTTTCTATTGTCCATGGGGAAGTGGAAAAGAATTTTTCCTCCGTAACCCAAATCGGTCGTAGAGGCGACTAAAATCCGGGGAGAAAGGGGCTAGTAACCCCTTCTCCTTATACAATTACTAAAAAAGAGAAGAAGAAAAACTTTATAAACTGGGTTGCTTAAATTTGCGTGGATGTAGTGCGGATGAAAAAGAAACAGATGATTTGCTATTTTATGAATAAAAAAATTGGGGTCCTGGCCCTAACGAAAAAAAGCTGAAGGGGTAAGAGTTTCAGTGGGGGAAATAAATGGATTAAAACTGGGGTATTGAGAGAGTTTAGACAAAGGAAGGGGGAGCAGTAATGTTAAATGAACTTAGGAAGGAAAAAGAGAAAAGAAAAGTGTAAATTTAAGAATTATGTGGATTAAAGTCAAGGTTGGTGCGAGAATGGGGCATAATAAGGTGTATGCCCGGGGAAAGGAGGAATGCAGAGGAGAAGAGAAAATTTTGGGAGATTTAAGTGAATGTATAGGGGGCCTTTAACCAGTGAGAAATAATTGTGGTGGGGGGCTTGAATCTAAGTGGAGAAACTTTTAGAGAGGGTGTGGTAGGGAATTTTTGGGGGGCCAGGGTAAAAGAAAGGGGGCCCTTTTATTGAACTTTGTTAGAAAGGGTTTATTATAGGGGAAACAAATTTTAAGAAAAAGAGGTAAATAAGTAACACGATATGAGTAGGGGGAAATGACAGTAGTTTTTTTGGATTATGTATTGTAGATAAAAATTTTTAGTAGACTTCAGGATGTACATGTTTTTAGAGGGGCCACAGATAATAAAATCACTTTCTAGTTGTACTACACTGAAGTAAAAAGGGAGTGGTACAAGGAGAATAGAAGCATCAGGGAAGAGAGAGGTGAAGGTTTATAAACTAAAAGAGGAGGCAGTTAGGGTAAGATATAAACAGCTATTGGAGGATAGATGGGCTAATGAGAGCATAGGCAATGGGGTCGAAGAGGTATGGGGTAGGTTTAAAAATGTAGTGTTAGAGTGTTCAGCAGAAGTTTGTGGTTACAGGAAAGTGGGTGCAGGAGGGAAGAGGAGCGATTGGTGGAATGATGATGTAAAGAGAGTAGTAAGGGAGAAAAAGTTAGCATATGAGAAGTTTTTACAAAGTAGAAGTGATGCAAGGAGGGAAGAGTATATGGAGAAAAAGAGAGAAGTTAAGAGAGTGGTGAAGCAATGTAAAAAGAAGCAAATGAGAGAGTGGGTGAGATGTTATCAACAAATTTTGTTGAAAATAAGAAAAAGTTTTGGAGTGAGATTAACAAGTTAAGAAAGCTAGAGAACAAATGGATTTGTCAGTTAAAAATAGGAGAGGAGAGTTATTAAATGGAGAGTTAGAGGTATTGGAAGATGGAAGGAATATTTTGAGGAATTGTTAAATGTTGATGAAGATAGGGAAGCTGTGATTTCGTGTATAGGGCAAGGAGGAATAACATCTTGTAGGAGTGAGGAAGAGCCAGTTGTGAGTGTGGGGAAGTTCGTGAGGCAGTAGGCAAAATGAAAGGGGGTAAGGCAGCCGGGATTGATGGGATAAAGATAGAAATGTTAAAAGCAGGTGGGGATATAGTTTTGGAGTGGTTGGTGCAATTATTTAATAAATGTATGGAAGAGGGTAAGGTACCTAGGGATTGGCAGAGAGCATGCATAGTTCCTTTGTATAAAGGCAAAGGGATAAAAAAAGAGTGAAAAAAATTATAGGGGGATAAGTCTGTTGAGTGTACCTGGTAAAGTGTATGGTAGAGTTATAATTGAAAGAATTAAGAGTAAGACGGAAAAAATAGGATAGCAGATGAACAAGGAGGCTTTTAGGAAAGGTAGGGGGTGTGTGGACCGGGTGTTTACAGTAAAAACATTTTAAGTGAACAGTATTTAGATAAGGCTAAAGAGGTCTTTGTGCATTTATGGATTTGGAAAAGGCATATGACAGGGTGGATAGGGGGGCAATGTGGCAGATGTTGCAAGTTATGGTGTAGGAGGTGGGTTACTGAAAGCATTTGAAGGTTTTTACGAGGATAGTGAGGCTCAAGTTAGAGTATGTAGGAAGAAGGAAAATTTTTTTTCCCAGAAAAAGGTAGGCCTTAGACAAGGATGTGTGATGTCACCGTGGTTGTTTAATATATTTATAGATGGGTTGTAAGAGAAGTAAATGCGAGGGTCTTGGCAAGAGGCGTGGAGTTAAAAGACAAAGAATCACACACAAAGTGGGAGTTGTCACAGTGCTCTTTGCTGATGACACTGTGCTCTTGGGAGATTCTGAAGAGAAGTTGCAGAGATTGGTGGATGAATTTGGTAGGGTGTGCAAAAGAAGAAAATTAAAGGTGAATACAGGAAAGAGTAAGGTTATGAGGATACAAAAAGATTAGGTGATGAAAGATTGAATATCAGATTGGAGGGGAGAGTATGGAGGAGGTGAATGTATTCAGATATTTGGGAGTGGAAGTGTCAGCGGATGGGTCTATGAAAGATGAGGTGAATCATAGAATTGATGAGGGAAAAAGAGGAGTGGTGCACTTAGGAGTCTGTGGAGAAAAAAGAACTTTGTCCTTGGAGGCAAAGAGGGGAATGTATGAGAGTATATTTTTTACCAACGCTCTTATATGGGTGTGAAGCGTGGGTGATGAATGTTGCAGCGAGGAGAAGGCTGGAGGCAGTGGAGAATGTCATGTCTGAGGGAAAATGTGTGGTGTGAATATAATGCAGAGAATTCGTAGTTTTGGAAGTTAGGGAGGAGGTGGGGGATTACCAAAACTGTTGTCCAGGGGGCTGAGGAAGGGTTTTGTTGAGGTGGTTCGGACATGTAGAAGAATGGAGCGAAACAGAAAGACTTCAAGAGTGTATCAGTCTGAGGGGAAAGGAAGGCGGGGGTAGGGGTCGGCCTAGGAAGGGTTGGAGGGAGGGGTAAAGGAGGTTTTGTGTGCGAGGGGCTTGGACTTCCAGCAGGCATGCGTGAGCGTGTTTGATAGGAGTGAATGGAGAAAAAATGGTTTTTAATACTTGACGTGCTGTTGGAGTGTGAGCAAAGTAACATTTATGAAGGGATTCAGGGAAACCGGCAGGCCGGACTTGAGTCCTGGAGATGGGAAGTACAGTGCCTGCACTCTGAAGGAGGGGTGTTAATGTTGCAGTTTAAAAACTGTAGTGTAAAGCACCCTTCTGGCAAGACAGTGATGGAGTGAATGATGGTGAAAGTTTTTCTTTTTCGGGCCACCCTGCCTTGGTGGGAATCGGCCGGTGTGATAATAATAAAAAATAAAAAATAATGTAAATCCAATTAATCCGTTCCAGATATTAACAAAAAATATTAACAAGTTTTACATACAGAAAACAGTGAAAATACAAATGACTAATGAAATGGATAAATGAACATTTACCTTTATTGAAGACTCTTGTTGGCATATGGAAGACAGCGAGGAGGGGAGAGGGAAGAGAGGCTATTGTTTGGAAGGGGAATCCCCTTCCATAAGGACTTCAGGTATCAAGGCCCTATCTGGGGTTATTTCCCTTCTTTGTCTTTTACTGGCACTAGGACCAGCTTGAGAGTCACTGTACCCCTGTCACACAAAAAATCTGTCCAGAGAGGTCTCTGGACAGATTTTAGGCAAATCTTTAAGATTTGCCTAAAATGGGACAAGGCATTGTCATTGAACTTGTTCCAGACATGGCTTGCAACAGCTTTGTTAGGGTGATATTTCTCCACAAAACTTTGCAACTCACTCCACTTTGCACACATGTCCTTAATCACTGAAGAAAGCACATTCTCCCCTCTCTCTTCCTCCTCCTCTGAAGCAATTTCCTCAGCTTAAATCTGTTGCTGTTCCAGTTGAAGGTGTTGCAGCTCTTCAGTGGTTAGCTCTTCCCTGTGGTCATCCACCAACTCTTCCACATCCTGGCCACTCGCATCCAGCCCAATGGACTTTCCCAAAGACACAATAGATTCCACAACAGGCATAGGGTCGTCAGGGTCAGCCTCGGCCAATCGACTGCCTTGCCTTTTCGCAAATTATTGACTCCAAAACACTCAGTGCTTGAGTGGCTGAGTGATGCAGGCAGGCAGGCGAACACGTTTGGTATGGACCATTGCCATCTCTACGAAAACCGAGGTGATGTATGAAAACTGGAACAAAATTTCAACGGAAAAAGTCATCGAAAACCAAATCCTACAAAAACTGGGGCGTACGAAAACCAAGGTTCCACTGTAATTCAGATTTACCAGATTTCCTATTATTCTTGGCTTCAGGATTGATGTCACCTCCATGAACCTATCCTCTTATGAATTCTGGGGTTAAATCATAAATGATTATGCATAATTCTAAAGCACAGGTTGTATAATTATATGTAAAATTATTATGGGACTACTAACTAATGTATACAGTAATTAGAAATTAAAATTCGGTTTTATGGTTATAAAGTACTCTAAAGAATTTTAGATTATGTAAAATTATAGTAGAGTATGTAAATGCAGAATATTACACCCGGTAATTATTCTGTGTATACAATACTGTAATCATAATTGCAGTATCAGTAAATATGATGTATTTAATAATTTTTCTATAAAATTTTCTGGGAAAGATATCAAGGATACTTTCTGTTGATAACCCTAATGTGATCAAACCATATCAAATGAGTAGTGTATATACATATTTATATTTTCATCTGCAGTATATATACAATATTGTATGCAGCTTTTATTAATCTAATCTAATTTTTCAGATGGAAATCCGCTGAAGACATCTTCCTGTCAAGCACTGGTGAAAGCCTTTTGAATAAGTCTATTGAAGCAGATGATGGAGGTGGCATACGTGAGGTGTCAAATAACCCCCTTCGCTTGGTATCCTCTGTTTCTGCATATCCCCTGCCCAACACCAACACAAACACTATCTCTACTGGCATTGTTCATGCAACCCCTGCTACTGCTGTTACTGCTTCTGCTGTTTCTACTTTTACCATTTCTTCCACCTCATCTTCTTCATCTACTTCCACAAACTCTTCGTCACACATCAGTATTCAGCCGCAACAGCCTTCTTCAGTAATGGTTAATCATGGTGGTCAATCCAACACCAGTTTTACTAGTACTGAATTTACCACCTCTGGCTGCCTCCATCATGGCTCTGACGCACCCTCATCGACTTCCCCCATTACAACTTCAGCTGGGGATTTAAATAATGCCCAATTAAACTCAGTTGGTGGACTTGCTCCACTTGACTTGTCAGGAATCACCCCTATCACTCAAGTCACGCTGCCCACGCCTACAGAAAATGGAGAGGGTAGATTCAGGTAATTTGTAAAAAAGATCTTATTGTAAGAGCCCTTGCCTTTATTCCCTGGAGTTTCAGTGGCACATATGGATAGGTATTGCACCTGAAGTAAAGGAGTAGGCTAATGGTAATTTACCAGTTTGTGTAGCCTTGCCATGCCATTCAGTCAGGAAAGTTTGACATTGTAGGATCTTGAATTAGGTAACTTGTAATTTATGAAATATCTATTTTGATTATTTACTTAAAACTTCCACTACTTATTATAGAACATGTATTGTTCATAAAACTTAATGTTGTGTGGCCAAGTAAATTTTTTTCAATATACTGGCCATATCCCAATGAGGACCATGTAAATTATTATTATTAATAATATTGATATATAGAGGAAGTACTAAATCCACAAGGGTCAGTTAGCTCAAAAAGTGGTGGAGGCTTAATTGCCATCTGCTGATCTTAAAATAAACAGACTGCTCTACCAGCTGGGCTTTCCCCCCACACACAGTCTCCTTCCTTCCCTCTAAAGTGTGACCATTTTAATTCTTTTAATGAGGTCACCAGAATTCTTCACTAGTACTATACAGTACTTGATAAATATGCCTGTTTATCAGTGACATGTTTTATGAGTTTTGCTACTCTTGCATTGCAGCCTGTGGCTAGGCATTCCCAGTTTCTGAAGTATCAGCGCTTTGAAATAGGCATAAATTTCTTCATATACTGGAAGGTTTATCACATAATTGTGAAAAGTATAGCTGCATTGAAAATTAAAAAATGGTTTAAGTAAAATTTTACCATACATTAAACACTTTTTTTTTTCTATTTTTTTTAGAAAAAGTATATTGTTGCTGCTTGTTTAGACAAGAAAAATTATTCTAGACCTACAATGTTTAAATGGCTGGGTTTTAAACATCATTTTTCCAAGTAACTTAAAGCATCACAACTACGATATTATTCATACAGTTATATCAGTGTGAAGCTAAATGCATCATAGTCCTAACTGTTCTTGATTTATGTACATACTGTACTGAGAAATTTACAGATAATAAAACAAGATCATTTGTTAGTGTTCTAACAACATAAAACTAAGATTTTTATTAAAAAAGTCTTTCATAAGAAATAAATAATTATATATATCTATACATGTATATATTTAAATCACTACTACATACCTTTATTAAAGACTCTTGTTAGCATATGGTAGAAGGGGGAGAGAGGAGAGCTTATTGTATATAAGGGATATCCCCTTTCATAAGGACTTAAGGCATCAAAGCTTTATCTGGGGTTACTTTCCTTCTTTGTCTTTTACTGGCACTGGACCCCTGTCGCACTAAAAATCTGTCCAGAGAACTCTGTTTCTGGTGTCTCTTTAAGATTTGCCTAAAATGGGACAAGGTATTGTCATTGAACATGTTGCAGATACGGCTGTAGTATTATGAATTCGAGTAATGGCCTCCAAAAATGTACAAGATAATAAGTTGTTTTAAAACAAAAGCATGATTTTGAGGTTTAGATTCTAGGTTGAGTTCTAAGGAAAATTTAAAGTAAATGTGTTAAGAATAGTTCTTACTTCTATCATGAGTTAGTAACAGAGTATGGCAATATATAATTCTTCACTCTGTATTTCTAGTGGAGTTAATAAGCAATTTGATAATCTTCAGTGAAGTACTGGCTAGTTTAAAAAGTGGGTTGAAGAAAGGTGATTTTTACGAATGTAATGCAGTAGTAATGATGAAGTTCTTTCACAATGTAACTACAGTCATAAATTAATAATTATCAATATTCTGGTTAGATGAGAAGGATATACAGTACCTTTGGGCATTCGTTACTTGGTGAATGGAGTGAGTATAATAGATAAAGAACATGAGTGAGGGGGAGAGGAGCTGCAGAAGAGGTTTGGTTGTCACTGCCTGAAGGAGTTTGTGCATGGATTGCTTTTGAGGAATGTAAGGAATTGGACAAATTCCCTTCATGTCCTAGCTGTGTTGAGTATTGTTTTATTTAATTTGTAATTTTTGCAATGTGGAAAGTTTGCACAGCACTATGTAATACTTTTCCAAATGTTTGAGACAAAATTTAATATTTTTTCCACACGCAGTGGAACAATGCATGCTTAGCTTCATATTGGAGCCTTAACCTGAATTATAGAACGTTCAGACCCTTGAGTATTTAGGAACAGGATCATATTCAGGATGCCATTATTAATAAGCCACAGCATATTTTCTTCTAAATTGCAATATGCCCTTGTGTTATGCATAATTGGTATCTACTTCATAGTAATAATAATATTTTTATATATGCTCTATGTAGATAATAAATTTATATGCACAGATTATTTTAGTGCACTCAACAGAGGTCAGTGCATGCAGATTATTAATTTAAATATAAGTGTTTCATTATTCCCAGACGTAAAGGTTAAAAACTCTTACAGCAAGGCATGAAGTAGTTCAGGATTCCTACAAGCTGGTTTGACTGTCATGTATATGCTTACAGTAAAATGTTAATACTGAGAAAAGTTAACTTTAAAGATCATAAAAAATTTAAAGATAGACTGAAAAAAAAACAAGAAAATAGTTAAGAGGCTCAAATGAAATTTCACCCTTACATCTGAGCCTGAACCTAGATTAGCCAGATGGCATTACCTCGCCTGTACCCCTGCACCATGCTGGCACAGTAGGTATTGTCCTAAGAAGTTTATTTGATCTGTTGGTTGTGATAGGCCCCCACAGTTATGCAGTTCTATTATGGAGTTTACTTTTTTATTTTATGAAGGTGCTAGGCATTTCAATACAGTATATGGTAATCAAGATACAATAATAACCAATACCCTATACTTTACTTAAAAAGCTTTGTGTAGTGTTGATAAATAATGGTAGGTAAATCACAGTATATTAAAAGAAAAAATAGATATGAATATTTTGTGAGTCAATATAAGCATCTATGTATGGGACCAGTAACAAGATGGGTAAGCACATTGATATAGTCTTACCCTTGGGTAGGGGGGCCTTGACAAGTTACATAATCTTGTAACTGCATACGTACTCATTTCTGATATACCTACCTATCATATATGACTGCTGTTGCTCAGAGATTTTTAATTATCAAGAGCAAGTTGAGAATTTGAACAGGCAAAAAAGTTCAGACTATTGGGATTCAACATGGCTGGTGGTGCATGACTCAGGAGGTAGCAGTTAAATTAGGAAATTAAAGTTTCAGTTAAAATTTAACCTAGAACTTGGAGAGGAGATATTAGGCTACATTCATTTTGTCATGGACCAATATCAATTCAAGTCATATTATTGTGACTGTTATTCAAAGTGAAGTTCTGAAGCTGTCGAGAAGCTAAGTAGTGCGAAGGAAAGGTAGACATTGTTTGAACCCAAGTAATAATGGTACTGCATCGTATTTTGGTATTCCTGATAGAGACGCTGGACATGCTGCTTCTTTGTTTCCAGACATCATTTGAAAAACCATTTCTTTTGATTTGACACTTGAAATATTTGTATGGACATAAAACAAAGCTTCTTATAATAGATTATAATTAGAATATAGGCTATACATAGTGATAATCATAAATAATGATTCTGAGATTTTGGGTAATTGCTGATTATTTAAAATAATTACATACTGATAATTTTAGAGAATCATTATGGATGATTCAGAGTTGTCCCCATTATTAATGGCTAGCCAATGGGGATAAAAAAAGCAAAGGACCATTAATAGCTGTCAGAGATAACTTTGATGCTTGATGAAGGACTGAAGCTCAAGGAAGAAGTTAGTGAAGACCGAACGTATAAATTTGAATCATTTTCAGTTAGATGAATGGGATATCAGGAAAATAAATTGGCCAATAAAGTGACACAAAAACAGTATGCGAGGTATACAAATTTGGGAGAAAAGTCTTGACATCTTTGTACAGTATTGGAAATTATTCCAACATTGTTTGATGTACTCTGTACAGTACAATATGTCTTTTTTATAAAATACCCACATCTTGTCAGGAAATAGAACCCATTTCAGCAGGAAATAGAACCCATTTCAGCAGATCATCAGCTTGGTACCAAGCGCATTGGAACAACCATGAGCCTCATGTCTGTATACAGTATTTTCCACCACTACTGTATTTTATGGCATCGAAGACGCTATTTTTCCCCAAAATAAATCTTGAAAATTTACCTAGCATCTTGGAAGCCAAAATGCTGTTTTCCTTTTTTTTTTTTTTTTCCCCCAAAAATTTAGCCAGTCAGAATTGGGGGGGGGGGGTTGCATCCTCGACACTGGAGTGTCTTGTTCTCTGTAAAATGTGGTAACTCTTTCTCTTAGGAACTTGCAAGTTTATATCCCCCTTTTCATGAAAGGTCGCATACTTGCGCTGAAGCCTCTTCTAAGAATAAAATGCTGGTTTCATTTTTTTTTCCATTTCACTGCCATTCTGTAGAACCACCATCCTAGGTCTTCCGTGGAACCTTTGATGCTTTGTCATTCAAGTAGTCTCTCAAGTTGTGTGAACAGTGATTAGTGTTCTTTTTCTTTTTCTACTGGCTAAATAATAAGGATCAGCCAGCTTTGTCTTGTTATGGCATATTGTAACTACTATAAAGAATCTTAATTTAATAAAAAAAATATTTATATTAATATTTACCTTTTCAGCAAAAGTCCAACGCCCAGTCCAAAGCCCAGTCCGACATTAATGAATCGTCAAACTTCCTGTGATAGCAGTGATGATCGAGCAAATAAAAATGATGCTTCTGGTTTTATTTCAAGAGAAGGTAGCATGGAACGATCTTTTACAGAGACTCCAGCAGAACACCAGCCAACTGATAAGCTAGTAAGTGACTTGAGCCTAATGCATTATCACATTACTGTTATTACAGTATAGGTTATAATTTGGTCATTATATTGTGTTCCTTTCATCTCCATTGGGAAGTGGAGAAGAATTCTTCCTCTGTAAGCCATGCATGTTGTAAGAGGAGACTAAAATGCCAGAAGCAAGGGGCTAGTAACCTCTTCTCCTGTATAAATTACTAAATGTAAAAAGAAAACCTTTTGCTTTTTCGTTTTTAGATCACCCTGGAATATGGCTGGCACATTGAAAAAAAAAAAATATTTGGAAAGCCCATAGGATGTATTGTACAATGTTGACTATGGTTGTGTAATATTTGAAGTAGAATTATAATTAAAACTAATATTGTACAGAGCTGATATAATGTTACAGTGTTTGGAGTGATAGTGATTATAAATAATATACAGTAGACCGTTATTTAACACGAGTTTATTTGGCACAATTTGGTTATAGCACGATTGAAGAATTGCGGCACAATTTTATGCAACACTTCGTAAAATTAATTTAACACGGTTCAGTTTGCGGGAAGGGAAAAAATTTGGTGATTTCAAGTGTAAGCCCATAGTTATTTACCACTCTAAGAATCCTCGTGCTTTGAAAGGTATATATAAAAACACCATACCAGTAATTTGGGGGTCAGACCAGTCAGCATGGATGACAGAGGAAATATTTATTGACTGGTTTAAGCATTAATTTATTCCTGAAGTGAAGTTTTACCTGCACAGCAAGAACCTTGCATTCAAGGCTCTCTTCATTCTTGATAATTCCCATACTCATCCACAAGCTTTGCTAGATGTGACCCCACATGTAAAGGTTGTACAGTGGACCCCCGCATAACGATTACCTCCGAATGCGACCAATTATGTAAGTGTATTTATGTAAGTGCATTTGTACATGTATGTTTGGGGGTCTGAAATGGACTAATCTACTTCACAATATTTCTTATGGGAACAAATTCGGTCAGTACTGGCACCTGAACATACTTCTGGAGTGAAAAAATATCGTTAACCGGGGGTCCACTGTATTTTTACCTCCAAATACAACATCTCTAATTCAACCACTAGATCAGGGAGTTATTAAGTCATTCAAGTGTAACTACACAAAAAAAGTTATGAAAAAAAAATAGTTGCATCAGTGGACTCTGACTCCAACCTGGCAGTACTAAGCTTCTGGAATAAATTTAACATTGCAGATGCCATCAGCTACGCTAAAAGTGCATGGAATGAAATGCCCCAATCAACATTAAATGCAGGCTGGGGAAAGTTATGGCCTTCTGTAGTTAATTCTTTGACTGGTTTTCCTTTGCTTGAGAGTCAGGTTCAGGAAATTGTTCAGCTGGCAAGGAGATTACCAGGTGATGGTTTTGATATAAATGAAATAGATGTGAATGAGCTCTTAGAAGATGATGATGAAGTCAGGAATCCAGAGGAAATGTTGGCAGAGCTCGATGCACAGATACAAGGGAGCCACGTAACAGAAGAAGATGAAGAGAACCTGAAGAAAAACAGTTAACACTGCAGCAGTTATGTGAGCAATTCCATGTTGTTGCTAAACTAGCAGACTTTTTCACTGAAGAGGACCCTAACAAATCTAGAAGCAGTGCTTTGAAACGGGGTCTAGACCAGCTGATGATGCCTTACTGTCAGCTGTATAAGTATAATGTACTGCAGGGTAAAAGAGCCCAGAGATCCACTACAGAATTTATGCACACTCCAATACAACCATTGACTTCAGTACCAGAACCTCTACTGTTCACTTCTGCTGACAATCAACAACCATCCACCTCAGCCCAGTAGGGCCACACCATGCATATCCATTCTCTTGACAATCATCTATAGACACCATTACCCACATTTTAAGGTAAGAAATACTATTATTTCTATTGCATTTGTAGTCTTAAGCAGTAATATATCACGACAGTGAACTATAATTGCATATTCACTTTTATTTTCTGAGATCTTTTTGTCTAAAAAAAAAGTTGTTTGGCTTTTCGGGAGCTCCAAGGAACATAATGCTATTTTTCCCATAAGTTCTTCAGTTCATCTAACACGGTTTTACCTAACATGTTCAGGAACAGTACCGTGTTAAATAACAGTCTACTGTAGTACAGTAGAACCACGGCTTACAAGTGCCCCACCATACGAGTTTTTCAGGATACGAACAGTCGCTTGGTCAAATCTTTGTTTCTGGATTATTTTTTTATTATCACACCGGCCGATTCCCACCAAGGCAGGGTGGCCCGAAAAAGAAAAACTTTCACCATCATTCACTCCATCACTGTCTTGCCAGAAGGGTGCTTTACACTACAGTTTTTAAACTGCAACATTAACACCCCTCCTTCAGAGTGCAGGCACTGTACTTCCCATCTCCAGGACTCAAGTCCGGCCTGCCGGTTTCCCTGAATCCCTTCATAAATGTTACTTTGCTCACACTCCAACAGCACGTCAAGTATTAAAAACCATTTGTCTCCATTCACTCCTATCAAACACGCTCAAGCATGCCTGCTGGAAGTCCAAGCCCCTCGCACACAAAACCTCCTTTACCCCCTCCCTCCAACCCTTCCTAGGCCGACCCCTACCCCGCCTTCCTTCCACTACAGACTGATACACTCTTGAAGTCATTCTGTTTCGCTCCATTCTGGATACGAGCCAAAATTCAGGATGCTAGCTTACCCCTCAAGGGAGGTTCCTTGATGCTGGTGAAGGGCTCTTGATCTAGGGAATTGTATCTGTGCTCCAGTTCCCTAAATTAAGCCTGAATATCTTCCATTCCCTGCTCCCCACAGGCGCTTTATAATCATACGGGTTTAGCGCTTCCCCAATATAATAATACGCCTCTCCTCGCTTAGTGACATATTCGTTTACCAACGCCTTGGTCTTACAACAGGCTCTCTGACCAGTATGCATACTCTAAATAATGTATATTAGAGCTGATTTTATCTATTCTGTTTATTTCAATATACAGTACACTACTGTATAAACATTTAAAAATATACCAGAAATGTTATAAATGGTGCAAAGGTGACATTAAAACAATATCAAAGATGGATGAACCGAACTTACTTTATAGTATGCTCCTCACTTAGCGACGAATTTGTTTAACGACATGGTCTCAGGAACAGAACTCTGCAGTTAAGTGAGGAGAGGCTGTAAGAATAATAATAATAATAATAATATAATATTAATACATATAATAATGGGGCTAGTAACCAATTCTCATGTATAAATTACTAAATTTAAAAAGGAGAAGCTTTCGTTTTTCCTTTTGGATCACCTTGCCTCTTTGGGATATGGCCGGTTTGTTGAAAGAAGAAGAAGAAGAATTATAATAATATTACTAAAATAACAAGCGAGTTTCAGAACGCCTCCACGAGATGGCAGAGTACCACAGCAACACTCACCATCACCAGTGCACGTGCTTACTCGTGGTGGAAGGAATTCTTGTGTTTTGCTTACGTTTCATGTAGTTATTCTGCCTAATTTCTTTTTTCTAACCATGGGTCCTAAGAAGGCAAGTGCAAAGGACAGTCCTGAGAAGAAAAAGAGGATGATGTCTATGGAAATAAAGCATGAAATCCTAGATAAACACAAACGAGGTGTGAGGGTTAAGGACTTGGCCAGGGAGTACCAGCGTAGCACCTCTGCGATATGTACAATACTAAAGCAGAAGGAGTCTATGAAGGCTATAGCGTCAGCAAAGGGTGTTACAGTAATTTCTAAGCAGCTGACCTCTGTCTATGAAAAGATAGAGAACCTACTGTTGTGGTTGATGGAGAAGCAGCTCACAGGAGAATGGCCACCACCAATTTTCACATAATGACATACATATTTTATTCATTCTAGAGTATATATCAGGTTTCTGTTTTATTTATATTGTTTATTATATCATATCAGATTAAGTGTGATAAATAAGCCATAGAGTTGATATTAGCGTTATGTTGAAGTGTATTTTATCCTGACTCCTGAGAGCAGGAATTCCGCTGGAACGGATTAATGGCATTTCAGTAATGTAATTTAAGTGAGGAAAACTAACTCAGCCTACGAGCAGATTGGGATACGAGCTAGGTCACGGAATGGATTAAACTTGTAAGCTGAGGTTGCACTGTATTGTATAAAGTAAATACAGTAATAGTTTTTAGTTTAAAAATTAGAGCAAGGTTAATAAATGATTGAACATAAAATATACAAGCCCTTTCTTACCTGATATATTGTCTGAATGAGATTTTCCTGTACGTGGATCAATATTTATGATGCTTGTATCATTAGTAATTTCCATTACTAGTGTAAAATTAAGTCATCTTAAAGGCATGAAAATTAACTTATTTTTCTATTTTCTCCATTAGCTTGATTCTATAAGTAGATCCTCAGAGTCGTGTCGCTCAGTAGATGGTCCCCGTACTCCTGAAATTGGCAGCAGTGTCAATGGTGTTTTGGTGAAAGACAGAAAAGAATCCAGGGACTCTAAATCCAGTGATAAAAAGAGCAATAAAGCATGGTATAAAATGCTGAATCCAACCTACAAAAGTAGATCTGAAGATTTGAAGAGATTATTCAAGGATTTACCCTCAGATGAAAGACTTATTGTTGGTAAGTGCATGTCACATTTATCTTAATATATTTAATATTTAATATTTAGTGAAGGGATTCAGGGAAACCGGTTGTTTTCATATAGTCGGACTTGAGTCCTGGAAATGGGAAGTACAATGCCTGCACTTTAAAGGAGGGGTTTGGGATATTGGCAGTTTGGAGGGATATGTTGTGTATCTTTATATGTGTATGCTTCTAGACTGTTGTATTTCTGAGCACCTCTGCAAAAACAGTGATAATGTGCGAGTGTGGTGAAAGTGTTGAATGATGATGAAAGTATTTTCTTTTTGGGGATTTTCTTTCTTTTTTGGGTCACCCTGCCTCGGTGGGAGACGGCCGACTTGTTGAAAAAAAAAAAAAAAAAAATTACTTTAAATTTTCCATGGGGAAATGGAACAGAATTCTTTCCCCGTAAGCCATGCATGTCGTAAGAGGCAACTAAAATGCCGGGAGCAAGGGGCTAGTAACCCCTTCTCCTATATATATTACTAAATTTAAAAAGATTTGTTGAAAGAAAAAGAAAATTACTGAAAGTTCTGCTGTATAGTGTTCATAGAAATATGTTGCACTTATGTTAATGTATTACTAGACTAATTGCATTAAAAGTCCTCTTTTATTTTTCTACCATGATGTACTCTAGTAACTAAACTAGTAATTAAGCTACGCTTAGTAACTTTGAGATGCATTTTATGGTTTTTAGGCATCTCTAAAACTTAATTTTGTCCAAGATCTGAGGTAGTTATTAATTGTAAATCAGATTTAACATAACCAACTACATGCAGTATAAAAATTAAGGTCTCATGGCTGAAGCTCTGTTATGGCTTAGATGATGTAGGTCGAAACAAATGATGATGTTCTCTTATGCAAAAGGGGCCTTAGCTAGTTGCTGTTGGCAGAAATGCACTAATGTTGCCTTTGTTCCAGTAAAGCTCTTTAAAATTTAGCAAAAAATCTTGGCTCCAGTTGGGCAATCCTCCCAACTTTGGGGCACTTCCAAACTTCTGAGAAAAGATCTTACCCTGACCATCATCTTTGGTTAACAAATTATGGTTAAAAAAACGAAGTGATATGTGATCAGAAAAAGTGTTAGTTTTAAGATGTTGAGTAACTTTAAGCTGACCATTATTATAAAGAAGGAATGATAAAAGGCCCAGCTTGCTACTTTAGGAAACTCTCAGTATTTTTGGATAGAGCAGATGTTTCACTCTTGTGTCCATCACAAAGTTTGGATATAATACTGCATTATCTATCACCTGAGTCCATGGTGCCTTAGATTGAGACTATTATTAATTTGGTCAGCAATACCAAAAGTCTTTTGCACGCCATTTGTGCCAATTATTTTTAAGTGGATGAGTGGAAAAGAATTCTTCCTCCATAGCCACGCATGTCATAAGAGGCGACTAAAATGCCAGGAGCAAGGAGGTAGTAACCCCCTTCTCTTGTGTAAATTAGTAAATTTAAAAAAGAAGAACTTTTGGTTTTCTTTTTAAGCCACCCTGCCTTGGTGGGATACGGATGGTTCGTTGAAAAAAAAAATATGATTGTTTCTTGTAATGAGTGTTTTCTTTTGAGATTTTTTTCAGTAACAATAATTTAATTGCACAGTAATGTACTGGATATGTTGAAAATTGAGACACTTGTGCAACATATGGGAATCTTTATTGAAGAAACGTTTCGCCACACAGTGGCTTCATTAGTCGATACAAAGGAGAATGGTGAAGAACAGGAGGAGTTTGAGGTAATCTGTCCCTCAGCCTTGAGTTGATGTAATCAGTCCATCAATCTTGAAAAGAATATAGCATATGTGTGAAGAAGTGGCTTATATACTGTAGACAGGTGAGGTGAAGCAGTCGTAGGCAGTATCACACTTGACAAATCCAAATGTGGAAGTAGGTCTACATCCAAAGGTTGGATAAGTGTTGAAGAATTCCTTGTATCAAGCTCCCATGATGTTGCAGTGTCTAACAGATATCAGTTTTAAACCATTTATCACATCCGTCAGACACTGCAACATCATGGGCTCTTAATACAAGGAATTCTTCAACACTTGTCCAACCTTTGGATGTAGACCTACTTCCACATTTGGATTTGTCAAGTGTGATACTGCCTACGACTGCTTCACCTCACACATATGCTATATTCTTTTCAAGATTGATGGACTGATTACACTGACTCAAGGCTGAGGGACTGATTACCTCAAACTACTCCTGTTCCTCACCATTCTCCTTTGTATCGACTGATGAAGCCAATGTGTGGCGAAATGTTTTTTTCAATAAAGATTCCCACATGTTGCATAAGTGTCTCAATCTTCAACTTGTCAGTTTTAAACTATTTATCACAACTGTACTGGATATACTGTGGAGTCTCCTCCTTTTTCTTTCTCCATAATTTTCTGCCAAGTATGAGCTTATACCTTGTAGAACTAGACCATCAGGTAGGTTGAAGCAAAAGCTTTTAAACATAAATTTTTATAACCAGTAGATTTATTCTGACATGTAATGTGCTTTTATTCTTTTCAGATTATTCTTGTGCATTACAAAAGGACATTTTGGTTCATGGGCGCCTTTATGTTACACCAAACTACTTTTGTTTTTACTCCAAAATATTTGGATGGGAGACCTTTGTAAGTACACATTTCCCTACTGTATATTGTAATAAACCATTAAATTTCTCAAATTTATATAAAAAAAATACAGTGGACCCCCGGTTAACGAACTTTTTTCATTCCAGTAGTATGTTCAGGTGCCAGTACTGACCGAATTTTTTCCCATAAGGAATATTGTGAAGTAGATTAGTCCATTTCAGACCCCCAAACATACACGTACAAATGCACTTACATAAATACACTTACATAATTGGTCGCATTTGGAGGTGATCGTTAACCGGGGGTCCACTGTATTTAAATTGAAATTGCAGCTAAAGCCATCCCGATGAATTTGTGGAGAGTGGAAGTTATATTCCTAAAAATCCAGCAAACTTGGAAACGGCAAATAATACAGAATAAAGTCTGCCAAACAGATTTTAAGTAATGAGTGTACTGTATGTATATTTTATTTTATTTTGTTTTTTTCAGTGCCTAGTTCTGCTAACTTAATATATGATAGTGTACACATGTTATAAAGCATTTATATCCATTTATAAGTGAAAAAAGAAAGTGATTCGCTCTATGGCAGTAGCCTGGAACTAGCCCACTGTATAAGTGGGGCCCTCCTGTATATTAAATGTGCAATAGAGCTAGGCCTAAAAAAATGATACGAAAGTAAAAGGATTGTAAAAAATTGCCAGAATACAGAGATGCAGAGTGCACAAATTCTGTAAAACAACTGAATCACTGACAATACACCCTGGCTCATGGCAGCTGTTATGCAAGTTACTGCATTAATGTGAAGATAATTTGTATATAAAGTAAGGTGTATGGTATTGTGGGGAAAATGCTCCGTAAATGTGTACATAATGTCTGTGTTTTGGGTGGACACGTAATAGACTTGGTCAGATGGACATGTATTAACCCTTTGACTGTCGCAGGCCCCTTTCTGAAACTGTCATTCTATGTTGATAAATTTTGGGGAAAAAAAAATTATTTTTTCTTTTGAAATGATAGAGAATCTTTTCCCGGTGGTAATGACACAAAAAGTACGAAATTTGGTCGAAACCTCACGGAATTACACTCCCGCAAATTTAGTGGTCTCGGTGACATATACGCATCGGCGATTTCGCCAACTTTGAGCCCTGTTTTTGGCCAATTCCGTTGTTCCAGTTGACCAAACTCATAGCTATTTCTTTAGAACTCCATTTTTTCTATCAGTTGAGTACAAGAAACTGCCCATTTACTGATTTGAACTACCCAATAAAGTGGTCAGAAATTGGCAATTTGGCCAATTTCACACAAATTAAAAAAGATGCCAATTTCAAAATAGGGTCCAGAATAAACAATGTAGACATTCTTGGCACTAAAATAACATATCCTCTGTTCATTAGTCACATCTCTTGGCCCCTCTTATATTACTATTGCTTTCTATTTTGATTTTTTATTCATACAAAAAAAAAATACAAAATTTACTGTTATGCAGACTACTGCATTATTGTAAAAATGGTATAAATAATATCAGTACACTAGTGAAAGAATATTAGACTCCCCAGTTGAAGTGTATTGGACGTGTGGTGTGATTTGCTTACTCCTGAACATTGGTAAAAATTGAACATTTCCGCTACTTTGAGCTCAATTTCAAGGTGTTTTCATCATGAAAGTAATCAAAATCATCTCTATTTCTGTAATATGTTTTCCATTTTATCACCTGAGACCATGAAAATGAGAATACAATGATAAATACTATACGAAAATACACCTCGAAGTCGGCGTTTTAATCCAAAAAAAAAACGGTCAGTTTTTTTTTCTCACTACGCACTGTGCGCTGCAGGATTTTTTATGTGGTGCACACTGACCACACAGACCCATTTTCTCACATGTGGGCCTACCAGCTTTCTCCCGCTTGATTTGAAGCCGCTAGAATTTACGCGTATAAATACATCAGAAACAGTGATGCGTAAGACGTATATATACTGCTGAAACAGTCAAAGGGTTAAACAGGTGCTTGGACAGGTATTGGATATCCAACTAGGATCATCTAGTGACACTTAAATTATTTTCACATTAATGCAGTACAGCAGCATACCCTGGCTCACAACAACAAACCCTGGCTCATGGCAGCATACCATCTTGAGAGTGAGTGATGCTGTTTATGAGTAAGGCATATGAAGGAGTGTTTTCCTACACTTACCCCAGGTAATATACACTGTTTTTCTGGTGGTAGTGAACTAGAGAGAACCTCTTATTGTAATTGTTGTAAACTACGCCCGCCCGGCTACCATAACTCGGTTATCAATTTGTTCTAGTGTGGTTGTCTGTACTATGTTTCTTATATAATTTTGAAAAATGTGTCATAGTTGGATTAATGAAAATAATATAATAACGTAATATACAACATTTAAAGTGCCCAGGGTGACATGTTTATGCTATTGCCTCTTCAACACTTGTGGGACACTCTTAACTACTCCCTCGCCTGCATAGCTGCTCCTACTTCATAATAATGCCAAATAGTGATTTTAATGTACCTGCATGCCAGCACAGTGTGCAAGTGTATTTAGGTATAGATATACGTAAGTATACTAAATGTAAAAGGAGAAACTTTCGTTTTTCCTTTTGGGCCACCCCGCCTCAGTGGGATACAGCTGGTGTGTTGAAAGAAAGAAAGATATGTAAGTACAATTATCAGTACTATCTCAGTCCTATCTTAACCAAAGACATATCTTGCACACTAAGTTTAGTCATTTCTGACTCTCTTTATCACAACTACCCTTGTAACACAAAAAGAGTTAATATAAAATATGCAGTAACTTTGAAACAATTCAAACTTTGGAAAGTTTCCAAACAGAATTGAGAGGGAAGCGGAGCTCATGGAGGATGTAAATAAACTGAGGGAAAGAAAATGACACATGGATGCCCAGCCAGGAGCTCAGGTCATGATAGTGAATCAGGAGCCATTTAAAAGAATTTTTGGGTATAATTTGAAATGGCTGTATTAGCGAGGTGCTAAGAAGTAAAGTGCCATAAACCAGGGCCCTACTGTATATTGTGATTATTAATTATAATACATTCAGCATTGCCAACCTTTCCTCATGGTTTAGCACAGATGCTAAACTAATGTACTGTACTTTATTTAAATAACTGATTTTTCCATCGTAACAGGTTTGCATCAAAAGCAAGGAAATAATTGCCATGACAAAAGAGAAGACTGCTTTAGTAATTCCAAATGCAGTTGAAATAAGAACCGAAGGAGAGAAGCATTTCTTTACATCATTTGCATCTAGAGATAAGACTTATATGATGCTCTTTCGGATTTGGCAAAATGCTCTAATGGATCAGGTATGTTTGGTTCTCGCTTTTATTTTCATATATCACTAATATTGTTTTCTACTGCACTTAAAATTAAATTTACAGACATTACCAGTATTGCTTTTGCTATTTAGTTTTGAATTAAGCAATTCTGATTTTTTGAAACAGAAGGGAAACTAGCAATTGAAGCTTTATTTCCTGCTTTAATATAGATATTTGAGTAAATAGAAATCATATCACACCATTGTTTGAATTTTGAGTACATTTTTAATTTTTAAATACTCACAATATCATGTACACTCTACATGGGGTAGTGGAACAGAATTATTCCTCCATAAGTCATGCATGTCTTAAGAGATGACTAAAATGCCAGGAGCAAGGGGCTAGTAACCCCCTTCTCCTGTATACATTACTAAAGTTATGAAGAGAAACCTTTTTTTTTTTTTTGGGCCACCCTGCTTCGGTGGGATACAGCCGGTTTGTTGAAAGAAGAAAGATCATGTTTACATTAGCATATAATTTGAGTGCATTTTATATCTTCCTACAGCAAATGAGTGCAACAGAGCTGTGGCAGTGGGTTCATTCTAGTTATGGTGATGAACTGGGTCTTACAAGTGATGATGATGACTACGTAGCTCCCTCCACCGAAGACGATACCAAAAACACAAGTCATGCACATAGTACCTGTGAATCCTCCAGTCTTAACAGAAACCTTAAGTTGTACAGTGTCGACTCACTTGAAGTGAGTACCCATGCTTGCTATTCTTGCTTGCTTTCTGATTTATAGAAGCTATCTGAATTAATAAGACACTTGCAACAGATTACTAAAAAGAATAAGAAGAAGAAAATTGTCAAAGTGGGAAGTCTGAATGTGCGTGGATGTTGTGCAAATGATAAGAAAGAGATGATTGTGGATGTTATGAATGAGAAGAAACTGGATGTCCTGGCTTTAAGTGAAACAAAGCTGAAGGGGGTGGGAGAGTTTCAATGGAGAGGAATAAATGGGATTAGGTCAGGGGTTTCAAATAGAGTTAGAGCTAAAGAAGGAGTAGCAATAATGTTGAAGGATAAGCTATGGCAGGAAAAGAGGGACTACAAATGTATAAATTCAAGGATTATGTGGAGTAAAATAAAGATTGGATGTGAAAAGTGGGTTATAGTAAGCGTGTATGCACCTGGAGAAGAGAGAAGTGTAGAGGAGAGAGAGAATTCTGGGAAATGTTGAGTGAATGCGTGGGGAGTTTGAATCAAGTGTGAGAGTAATGGTGGTTGGGGATTTCAATGCTAAAGTGGGTAAAAATGTTATGGAGGGAGTAGTAGGTAATTTTGGGGTGCCAGGGGTAAATGTAAATGGGGAGCCTTTAATTGAGCTATGTGTAGAAAGAAATTTGGTAATAAGTAATACATATTTTATGAAAAAGAGGATAAATAAATATACAAGGTATGATGTAGCACGTAATGAAAGTAGTTTGTTAGATTATGTATTGGTGGATAAAAGGTTGATGGGTAGGCTCCAGGATGTACATGTTTATAGAGGGGCAACTGATATATCGGATCATTATTTAGTTGTAGCTACAGTTAGAGTAAGAGGTAGATGGGAAAAGAGGAAGGTGGCAACAACAAGTAAGAGGGAGGTGAAAGTGTATAAACTAAGGGAGGAGGAAGTTCGGGCGAGATATAAGCGACTATTGGCAGAAAGGTGGGCTAGTGCAAAGATGAGTAGTGGGGGGTTGAAGAGGGTTGGAATAGTTTTTAAAAATGCAGTATTAGAATGTGGGGCAGAAGTTTGTGGTTACAGGAGGGTGGGGGCAGGAGGAAAGAGGAGTGATTGGTGGAATGATGAAGTAAAGGGTGTGATAAAAGAGAAAAAGGTACCTTACGAGAGGTTTTTACAAAGCAGAAGTGTTATAAGAAGAGCAGAGTATATGGAGAGTAAAAGAAAGGTGAAGAGAGTGGTGAGAGAGTGCAAAAGGAGAGCAGATGAAAGAGTGGGAGAGGCACTGTCAAGAAATTTTAATGAAAATAAGAAAAAAATTTTGGAGTGAGTTAAACAAGTTAAGAAAGCCTAGGGAAAGTATGGATTTGTCAGTTAAAAACAGAGTAGGGGAGTTAGTAGATGGGGAGAGGGAGGTATTAGGTAGATGGCGAGAATATTTTGAGGAACTTTTAAATGTTAAGGAAGAAAGGGAGGCGGTAATTTCATGCACTGGCCAGGGAGGTATACCATCTTTTAGGAGTGAAGAAGAGCAGACTGTAAGTGTGGTGGAGGTACGTGAGGCATTACGTAGAATGAAAGGGGTAAAGCAGCTGGAACTGATGGGATCATGACAGAAATGTTAAAAGCAGGGGGGGATATAGTGTTGGAGTGGTTGGTACTTTTGTTTAATAAATGTATGAAAGAGGGGAAGGTACCTAGGGATTGGCGGAGAGCATGTATAGTCCCTTTATATAAAGGGAAAGGGGACAAAAGAGACTGTAAAAATTATAGAGGAATAAGTTTACTGAGTATACCAGGAAAAGTATACGGTAGGGTTATAATTGAAAGAAATAGAGGTAAGACAGAATGTAGAATTGCGGACGAACAAGGAGGTTTCAGAGTGGGTAGGGGATGTGTAGATCAAGTGTTTACATTGAAGCATATATGTGAACAGTATTTAGATAAAGGTAGGGAAGTTTTTATTGCATTTATGGATTTAGAAAAGGCATATGATAGAGTGGATAGAGGAGCAATGTGGCAGATGTTGCAAGTATATGGAATAGGTGGTAAGTTACTAAATGCTGTAAAGAGCTTTTATGAGGATAGTGAGGCTCAGGTTAGGGTGTGTAGAAGAGAGGGAGAATACTTCCCGGTAAAAGTAGGTCTTAGACAGGGATGTGTAATGTCACCATGGTTGTTTAATATATTTATAGATGGGGTTGTAAAAGAAGTAAATGCTAGGGTGTTCGGGAGAGGGGTGGGATTAAATTATGGGGAATCAAATTCAAAATGGGAATTGACACAGTTACTTTTTGCTGATGATACTGTGCTTATGGGAGATTCTAAAGAAAAATTGCAAAGGTTAGTGGATGAGTTTGAGAATGTGTGTAAAGGTAGAAAGTTGAAAGTGAACATAGAAAAGAGTAAGGTGATGAGGGTATCAAATGATTTAGATAAAGAAAAATTGGATATCAAATTGGGGAGGAGGAGTATGGAAGAAGTGAATGTTTTCAGATACTTGGGAGTTGACGTGTCGGCGGATGGATTTATGAAGGATGAGGTTAATCATAGAATTGATGAGGGAAAAAAGGTGAGTGGTGAGTTGAGGTATATGTGGAGTCAAAAAACGTTATCTATGGAGGCAAAGAAGGGAATGTATGAAAGTATAGTAGTACCAACACTCTTATATGGATGTGAAGCTTGGGTGGTAAATGCAGCAGCGAGGAGACGGTTGGAGGCAGTGGAGATGTCCTGTCTAAGGGCAATGTGTGGTGTAAATATTATGCAGAAAATTCGGAGTGTGGAAATTAGGAGAAGGTGTGGAGTTAATAAAGCATTAGTCAGAGGGCAGAAGAGAGGTTGTTGAGGTGGTTTGGTCATTTAGAGAGAATGGATCAAAGTAGAATGACATGGAAAGCATATAAATCTATAGGGGAAGGAAAGAGGGGTAGGGGTCGTCCTCGAAAGGGTTGGAAAGAGGGGGTAAAGGAGGTTTTGTGGGTGAGGGGCTTGGACTTCCAGCAAGCGTGCATGAGCGTGTTAGATAGGAGTGAATGGAGACGAATGATACTTGGGACCTGACGATCTGTTGGAGTGTGAGCAGGGTAATATTTAGTGAAGGGATTCAGGGAAACCGGTTATTTTCATATAGTCGGACTTGAGTCCTGGAAATGGGAAGTACAATGCCTGCACTTTAAAGGAGGGGTTTGGGATATTGGCAGTTTGGAGGGATATGTTGTGTATCTCTATACGTATATGCTTCTAAACTGTTATATTCTGAGCACCTCTGCAAAAGCAGTGATAATGTGTGAGTGTGGTGAAAGTGTTGAATGATGATGAAAGTATTTTCTTTTTGGGGATTTTCTTTCTTTTTTTTGGGTCACCCTGCCTCGGTGGGAGACGACCGACTTGTTGAAAAAAAAAAAAAAAAAAAAAAACTTGCAACAGATAGATATCTTTATTCCAAAATGTTTTTCCTGCACAGTAGGCTTTGTCAGTTGAATGCAGAGGTGCCAAACAGGGAGACAGGAGAAGCAGTGGAAATGGTAAAGAAGTGATCATTCCATCAACCTTGAAGTAGTATGAGGTGGTCAGTCCCTCAGGCTGAGGAACTGATTGCATCATTTTTTCCTCTACACTACTGTTGTCTCCATATTTGCTGCCTCTGTATTGAACTGATGAAACCTACTGTGTAGAAGGTATTTATTCCAACAATTTTCAATCGGTTGCTCATGTTTTACTTATCTACTTGTTAGTTTTGTATACCATTATTACTTTGATATCTGTGGGTTACACACTACACATACATGTACACATTTATTTATACACACTCATCTGAGTTTTCTTTGATTTTATCTTAATAGTTCTTGGTCTTATTACTTTTCCTTTTATATCCATGGGAAAGTGGAATAAGAATCTTTCCTCTGTAAGCCATGCATGTTGTAAAAGTCAACTAAAATGCCAGGAACAATGGGCTAGTAACCCCTTTTCCTGTAAAGATTACTAAAAAGAATAAGAAGAAGAAAATTGTTAAAGTGGGAAGTCTGAATGTGCGTGGATGTTGTGCAAATGATAAGAAAGAGATGATTGTGGATGTTATGAATGAGAAGAAGCTGGATGTCCTGGCTTTAAGTGAAACAAAGCTGAAGGGGGTGGGAGAGTTTCAGTGGAGAGGAATAAATGGGATTAGGTCAGGGGTTTCAAATAGAGTTAGAGCTAAAGAAGGAGTAGCAATAATGTTGAAGGATAAGCTATGGCAGGAAAAGAGGGACTAAATGTATTAATTCAAGGATTATGTGGAGTAAAATAAAGATTGGATGTGAAAAGTGGGTTATAATAAGCGTGTATGCACCTGGAGAAGAGAGAAGTGTAGAGGAGAGAGAGAGAGATTTTGGGAAATGTTGAGTGAATGCGTGGGAGTTTTGAATCAAGTGTGAGAGTAATGGTGGTTGGGGATTTCAATGCTAAAGTGGGTAAAAATGTTATGGAGGGAGTAGTAGGTATATTTGGGGTGCCAGGGGTAAATGTAAATGGGGAGCCTTTAATTGAGCTATGTGTAGAAAGAGATTTGGTAATAAGTAATACATATTTTATGAAAAAGAGGATAAATAAATATACAAGGTATGATGTAGCACGTAATGAAAGTAGTTTGTTAGATTATGTATTGGTGGATAAAAGGTTGATGGGTAGGCTCCAGGATGTACATGTTTATAGAGGGGCAACTGATATATCGGATCATTATTTAGTTGTAGCTACAGTTAGAGTAAGAGGTAGATGGGAAAAGAGGAAGGTGGCAACAACAAGTAAGAGGGAGGTGAAAGTGTATAAACTAAGGGAGGAGGAAGTTCGGGCGAGATATAAGCGACTATTGGCAGAAAGGTGGGCTAGTGCAAAGATGAGTAGTGGGGGGGTTGAAGAGGGTTGGAATAGTTTTAAAAATGCAGTATTAGAATGTGGGGCAGAAGTTTGTGGTTACAGGAGGGTGGGGGCAGGAGGAAAGAGGAGTGATTGGTGGAATGATGAAGTAAAGGGTGTGATAAAAGAGA